TCCTTCCTTCCTTCCTTCCTTCCTTCCTTCCTTCCTTCCTTCCTTCTTCCCTCTCTCCATCCTCTCTCTTCCTTCCTTCCATTATTCCTTTATTCCTTAATTTATTTTTATTTTTATTTTTTGAGACAGGGTTTCTCTGTGTAGCTTTGTGTCTTTCCTGGATCTCGCTCTGTAGACTAGGCTGGCCTTGAACTCACAGAGATCCCCCTGCCTCTGCCTCATGAGTGCTGGGATTAAAGGGGTGCATCACCACCACTCGGTGAGACATTCCCTTCTTAAGAGTGCAGTTGGCAGGGTACTGAGGAGTGAGAGGAAGGCAGAGTAGAGGGCAGAACTTTTGTTTTTATGTTTTTATATTTTGAGACAGGGGCTTTCTATGTGGTCCTGCTTGGCCTGGAACTCACAGAGATCTGCCTGTCTCTGCTCTCACCTCTCCAGTACTTGCACTAACAGTGTGCCCCACCACACCAGGCTGTAGGCTTGTGTTTAGGGTCAGGACATCTTTGAGCCTCCCAGGTCTCCAAAGACCTCAGCCTGAGGCCCCTTGCTCTTACTAGTTACTTGCTGAAAGGCTCCCCATCTGTCTAGCACCCCACCATGGAACCAGCTGCCTTCCATTTAGTTTTCAATGTGATGGCTAAAGAAACTCCATTTTGTGGTTGGCATCCACCTTGGTACCTAATAGCCATTTTATTCTTGACTCAAACTCCTGGAAGATAAGTTCTCTGTAACCTTGGCTTCTTGACCTTCACTTAGAAATGCACGGCCATGATGTGACCATCTGTTATTATGCTATGACAAACTGCTATATTTTGGCTTCTGTAACTTGCTTTGGTAGATATTCAAGAATTGTTTTAAAGTCTCCTTGACCACTCACTCTTGGATAAGCAGAATAGCTTCTGTGGCTTTTGCCTTTAAAAGCCCTTCCTTCACCTTCCTCTGGGTGGCATGTCTTTGGTTTGGGTTAGAGACTGCAGCCCTGCTGGCAGTTTTAATAAATTTGGCTAATTATAATCTGAAGTGAGGACGGTGTTTTTCCCCCCAATAGTCTCAAGCTCCATAACATTTGGAGATCCCAGCAAGATCCTGGGAGAACACAGATTCAGAGCCTGGGTCCTGGATAGGTCCTAGTGAGGGCAAGTCTGGGGCATTTTTGGAGACCCTGGGAAGCCTGATTCCACAGCTGCCACAAAGTCACTAGTTGGGGTTGGGTCCTAGATGGGGGCAAGTCCCACAACTCAGAG